AACTGGAAACACATGCAACACCACTTAGAAGAACTCAATGGTTGTAAAAGTTTGATTGTGAGACTTTATTGTTTGTTTTAAAAGATAACAGAGGCATTCTGAATGTCACGTATTACTTTTATTGCCACAAGGATTAGACTACAAACTCAGATTCCCAGTTGCCATAAAACATTAGGCAAAAAGACTTCCTGTGTGCCAAGAAGAGTTAAGCATTGCTGCAAGGCCTCAGGTCTCCATCAAAATCCAACACATCCAACAAAAATGAACCATAAACTACAACAGCCCACTGCTTGTGGCGTTTTGAGGGTAACAAGAAGAAAAAAAAAAAGGCAAGAGAACTGACCTCAATTTACCAGCTTAGCAAAGCACCACTCTCAGACAACTCCATTAGTCTAGACTAAGAATTGCCAGTATTTATGCACAGAACATACAAGATCGAGACCTTTCAATAGTGGAAACATAACAAGAAGGAAAACAAGAGAGAGCAGTAATCAAATCAAAAAAGGATTGACACAAGTAGGAGCTAAGATCAAAAAATATAACCGAATGGATTACCGTCTAAAGTTTGGGGAAAAGTTGTCATCCTCTCTCCTTCCTGCTCTTACAGCTACTAGAACCTCTGGACTGTGTATTTCTTTGGGTTTTATAAAGGTAGAGACAAGTACATAAATGCCAGTAAAAGACTCTGAATGATCCTAATGACATGTTAGGTTCTGATGTTTAAAAGTGAAACTTCAGATAATCTAAGTACCAATGCTGTAAACTCTGCTGACAAATAGCCTGAGATTTGAGCACCAATCCCACTTCCTTCCAAGTTATCTTTCAGATCATAATAAAATTCCATTCAAGATACAGTAACCTGAAGAGGTTTTTTTCTTGAACAACTATTTAATTTTAGTCTGGTTTGGATTCTGCTTTTGTGGCTTTAAGAACAAATGCTGGGAAACAGGGCCACCGCTGTATGAGCCATACTGCACTTCCAGAGCTGTTTTACATTTCATCAGGCAGTATCAGCTGAACTTCTGGCAGGAAAGAAAAATACCAGTGAGACTCTTCACTGCAGAACACTCATGCAGTCACTGCAGACCTTCTAGATGCATGCAAGCACTTAGCATATAGAAATTATACTGACACTATAGTCAGATTTTACCATTGCTGTGGAGAGCTGCTAAGAACAAAACTACAGAGACACCTTACTGGTAAAGCCATTCAAAAGGCACAGCAGACAGTTTTGTTCTTTCTTTTTTCACTATTAATATATTCCAGAAACAAGACATAATGAGATGCATGTAAGTATCTTACTAGTTCATTTCCATAAAACAGTCATTTCTTTTATTGCATAAACCCCCATATTCCCATTTTCTCCTTTAAAAACGGAGACAGTGAGTGGTTTAGGTGATTACAGCTGTCATGGAAGGTTTGAAAAATAACTTTTCTGTTCGATGTACGTTTTAGGCCACTGGGAATGCTGTCAAATAATGACATCACAGTCTACATTAACGTTGGCAAAATGCAACCATGCTTCCTTTCGTATTTAACTCAGGTGGTTTATAGCCCTTCCTCTTCCTATTCCCTGGTCGAGAACAAGAGTGGAATGAACAAATGGTTTGTAACTCAGCCCCGATAAAATGGGTAGAGATAATGCCTGTCAAATGAAAGAGTGTGAAAGAAAAAGCACATCCTCAATTTGATAATGAAGCTTGCTCATTCTTCATCATCAACGAGCTTTGTAAGCCTGAGTCACTTCCTAAAATTCCAATTAATTTGTAAGGGAGGAACACAAAGGGATGAGATACTCTTTCAGTATCTAAGTTATCAGTTATTACTACATTGCCTTTCTTGTATATGAGCCACCCCACACACGGACAAGAACGTTAGATGGGTGACTGCATCATACCCTATAGGGAGTCACCTTCCCACCAATCCATTCCAAAGCTCTCAAGTACAATTCTCACCTTCCATTTGATTTCCATGTGATCCTAACTCCAATCTAAGTACAAAACAACCAGAAACTCACTAATACCTTACTGCCTGCTGGTTACCTGCTCAGTTCTGAGAACAACCTTGAGCACTGATCTTGTTTTAAAAAGTCACATGTGGGTCTTCATCTAGAAGGTAGCTGTGCCCAGAGCAGCTGAGGCTCTGACAGGACTAGAGAATCCACTTTCCACTGAGAAGTTTAGTGACCAGGGCAAATAATTAATGAGGAACTTAATTTTTCCACTGATGCCTAAAACAAATACTATGTTAACTTCAAGAATGAAAGTCCAGCAAACCTGACCTGGTTTCACTTTAGGTAGTCTTGCCAGGGGCAGCGATTTGGACTCATGATTCTCACTGGCTCCTTCCAACTTAAAATATTCTATGATCTGTTTATCCAAAGTCAAGTTACCTCTGTCAGAAACTTGGCTCTGATGTCTGTTTAGTGAGAGGTTAAGAATGGTACCTAGAAGCTATTAAAGCTTGGGCACCAGGATTAGTATTAGTCAAATCTGAACCCTTAGAAGACCCAAAGCAATGTGACCTTCCCACTGATTTAACATCTGAAAATGCACCTTATGGTTGACATCACCCATCACCAACCTCAAAATCTGCACAGAGCACCCAACCAAACTCAGTCAAGCCTCTAATCTCTAACACCCTGTTCCTACTGACCCGCTTTGCTGGTTCACCCGTGTTAACTGCGGCTTCCAGGCAAGGCCAGTGAATCTGTTAAGGCTTGAGGCTGGTTTTCCGGCAGGATAGTTACATTAATGAGGAGGTGGGAATGAATCACATCCCTAAGCATCGATGTGGTTACAGTGACACACAATTACTCTCATTACCACAAGAACGGGGATGAGCTATACCACTGAAACGTGACCCACACCGGAGAGGTGCCTGTTCAGGCACAGAAGAAGAGGAAGGTTTGCACATCCCTTGTTTCATCTTCAGTTCTGTAGTTTGGGAGTAATTCCAGTGATATTTATGAAACACAGACCTCGTGTGTTGGAGTCTTTGTGGCACAGCATGTAGGAAGACACTTGGGAGTCTACAGTTTGGGGAGTTGTTTAAAGTGCTTATTTTTAAGCGTTTCTAACACCTAACACATATACACATTCTATCACACTCTTTGTGGCTACTCCCATACAAAAGAATTGCAGAAAATAATTTCACAAGAAACCCACGTGGGGAAAGAAGTGGATTAAATTTAGAGCTGAGCACTCAACCGAAAACTGGGGGTCAGAAACTCTTGCATGGTTTTTTTTTTGCCACTGCTCAGCCTTATTCAAACAAAAACGTCATAGAACAGACCACACTAAATAAAGGGCACAAGACAAAGTTATTCACAGCAGCCTCCAAAACAGAGAATTTAAGCAGAATGTGTCCCCCCACACACGCTCAATAAGCTTTGCTTCTTACAACTTAAGAACAGTTCTAGCTCATTTTCTAAGGTTCATTGTGATGATAAATGCACAAAAGTGTATGGCATGCACTGCCACTTATTAGCATTTAATGCCTCTTGAACAATTACAATGCAAATATTCATCACAATAGATGGGAACCTTGGTGGAAACAAGAATTCCCACAAATTGTTTAAGAGTACAGTAAATGAATAGTGTTATAAACAAAAAGTCCAAACCCCTCACAAATGTGTGTGCTGCATTTGCTTGTGGATTAACCACTACACACTCATTGTGCAACTGCATTTGTACAAAACCCTTGGAACAACAAAAAAAATTATACCCCAACATGAAGTCTTTTCTATTTATAGATGTGTTCAGGTCAAGCAAAACACAGTTATCTCCAGGTTTGCTTGGGTGGGGTTTTTTTATTAGTGACAGATTTTTGCATAAATAGGCTGTTACAGGACAGAGTGTGAAGTCAGACCATTTGAAAGGAGGCTCCATTTTGAATTACTTGACTGACAGTGTAACCAACACACCAGCAAACATGGTAGCTTGAAAAAAGTGACGTTTGAAGTTCGTTTCTAAGCTTTCAAGATACAACTTAATATAAAACATTAAAATAAATCTAAATGACTGCATCAGAATCAATCAAACCTACAAAAAAATGGCCCACTGACACATTTTAAAACTACTTTTACTTCACTTATAGAACTGGACAATCAAAATAAACATTAACTAAGTCTGCTCTATATAATGCGTTAAGAAAACTGCTACATCCTGCACAAACTCTCGTTTCCCGAGTCTCATTTCTCTATTTAATACAGTAACATGTAAACATACTCCACAAACACGTTTTTGCTTGTGATCAAGGTACTTACAGGCAAAGGATACCTTTTTAGTCTACTGTTATAAATATATTTGAGGAGCAGAGGGATAAAAACAGCCCTATTGGTTACTATACCTTATAGAGTATTCAATATTCCTTAATATCCTTAAATCCGTATTACACAGGAAAAAGAAAGAAAAGGGATGTGCTTATGGTTCACAGTGCCTTTCACATCTTTTTTATGGCTGTCTCAAACTACAATAACAGAAGCATAAGAGCTTATAGAGCTTTTAAGAAACTGTTGTCTTTAGGATGTGCACACCTGACAGCCCTTCTTGGAAAGCTGGTTTCCCCTGTCAGCAGCACAGGACAGGAGATTATGTGTATATACACACACTCACATACAGATACATCAGACCAAGAGGGCTGGCTAAAACCGCATCAGCGAGCAGCAATACCGAGAAAAACTTTACAACTCTTTTTAAAACAGCCCCCGATAAGGGAAACACTTCAGAGCGGAGATGATAAAGAAAAAAAAAACAAACAAACAAACGGGAGAGATCTCATCAGGCGAGCAGAGGAAGGAGAACCCTGCCACAGCTCCTCCATCCTGCCTCAGCCGAGGAGAGGAAGGGCGGCGGAGACGAAACCGGCTTCAAGGCACGAAGAGACAGCAAATCGGTCACCTCAGACTCCCTCCTGCACAGGCAGCCCCCCCAGCCCCTCTCCGAGAAGCCCCTGCCCCGTCCCCCGCCGCCTCGCCCCCCTCACGCCCCGTCCCTCACCAGCCTGGGTGGTGTCGCTCAGATCGTGGTTGGCGGCGCTGGCCCGCGGGTAGTCCCGGAGCTTCCTGCCGCTCAAACTGAGAGCTCCGCTGGCCGCCGCTTCTTCCAGGGCTCGGTCCAAGGAGCGGCTCCAGGAGCCGGGGGCCGAGGGCCCGGGCGGAGCGGGGCACGCCGCGGGCATCGCGGCACAGCCGCCCTCCGGCGCCGCCATTTCCCCGCCACGGCCCGCCCGACGGCGCATGACAGCGCGGGCCGCAGCTGCGCATGCGCGGGCGCCGCCCGGCGGGCGCAGGGACCGCGCGTTGGTGTTGGATGAGCCCGGAGCGTCCTTCCTGCCCTCGGGAATGGTTTCCCCGCTCGCCCCGGGGTAACCGGCGCCCACCGCCCCTTGACATGGCTGTGCACATGGCTGTGCACCTTCTGCATTGTTAAAAAACGCGCCAAGGCGGGAGGTCACAGGTCGGTTTTTGGGTGAGCATCGCTCACCGCTGCTGGGTGTCAGACCCCTTCCGGGGGGAAACCAAGGATAGGGCGCACAGATCCCAACCAGGCGGGGAAAGTAGCAACTGCTTCACGTTTTTTTTAACGTAAAGTCATTGATCCTTAGGAGGTCACACTCTGTGCAAGATCTTAATAAATGCCATAAATGCCGTCTTGCTCTGCTGCTTCCACTGGACCCGCTGTGTGTTTTAACACTGCCAGAGAGAGGCAGCTGAGAGACCTGAGCTGGTAACCAAGAGCAAAGACTGTAGATAAGCAGGCGCCAAGACACTCACCGTAATCAATACCTTAGCAAATATGTTTACAGGCAGTATTTTTTCCTCCACCACCAATTTGCAGCAGCATTTCCGCTGTTCGTGCCTCCTGCCAGCACAGCACTCCCAGGCGGTGGCTGCTCGGGATGTTCCCATAGCACAGGATTTAAATGACAGCGACTTCTTGCTAGCAAGACGTGTCACAGCAACAAACAGTGCCTGGGCTGACGCACCTGGCACTCTGATCACACCAAACCACTACATTAGACACAAAACATGCATTAGTAGCTGACACATTTAAATGCACGTGAGCCCACACGGTGCCGCTCCACGAAGCGCTCAGTTGTCAGGGTGCTCAGCTGGGCAATGAGTACGAGCCCCCTTTAAATCAGGCTACTTTTTGCTGTGTTCTTCAGAACATTTAATAAGAAATTCATCAATAAGAACCCCTTGAATGCCACCAGAAAATTCACATAACCAGAGTATTGCCCAGGTGGTTACAACAGGAACAAGACAGTATGAAACCTGTAACCTTTTATTTAAAAAAAAAAAAAAAAAATTAACAGCTTCAGAATAGATCAAATGTAATAACTTCTCCAAAAAATACCAAAAAGTACAGTGTAAAGCATCTTCTCATTAAATACAAACTAGCATTTTTTGATGCATTGCATCAATGTTTTGCATCTATGCTGATGCAAAAGAATTTTTTTGTTGCATCCTGGCACATGGAACACGCATACACTGGAACAGGATGACTGACAACACTTTATCTACTCAAATTCTAACAGTGGGACAGTTTTTTGTTTTTTTTTTTAAATTTCCTACTAGTAATTGAGAAAGAAACCTTAACACCATTACGTTTAGTTTGCTTCTGCTAAGGTATATTTTTCAACATTAAAAATAAGGGTTTAAGTACTATATAGCATCAGAGTGCACTCTGACTTCAAAACTGCTATACATAAAAAAAGCCCTTCTGCTGTCAAATGCTCTTCAAGGCTGAAGTTGCCAGTATACGCTAGTTAACTTGGAATCTGAGATAAAAAGGAAACAAACTCTGTAAAAATTCAAATGTAAATTCTTCAAGAACGTGAAAAGGAGTTAAAACCCGCTTGAAACACCATAAATGTTCCTGGATGCAGCAGGACAACCACTCTTTTACCTGACTCTACCTAAACCTCATTGCTATAGGTCAGTGCTATGCTCATCAGTTAAGCAATTCTGAAGTGCCTCTGTTTTAGGGATTATATAAATTCAGACTGAGGAGGCCCTGGTTGTTACTTCCTGCAGATTCTGATGCACAGAGCTAAGCTTAAAGCAAGTGACTACATGCTCCTGCTTAATGCCTTACACACGCTGGCAAACCGAGGGCTTTTCCTCCAGCAATGTTCCCCCATTTCAGCCAATTTCCAGATGTCTGACCACTTTGGATCAGCTTCACATCTTACCTCTCTTTGGTACACACAAACAAGTGCCATTAGATTGCTTGCCTCCAGCTATTTCTAAGAGCCAGAAAAAACCCTCTGGGGCAAGGTATGGTGGATGACAATCCTGTGTCTGGGAGGGCAAGGAATTCTACCATACTGGTGACTTCCTTGTGAATTGCTGTATTTATTCCTGCGAAATTATTCAAAAATGATAAGTTATTGCATTAAGTTTGTGAAAAACCTTTCGATAAGAAACAGAAAAATTAAGTTTAGGAAAAAAAGATGAGAGACAAACTCCATTTACAGAGGAAGATGAACTTGAGCTATTTGTTATCTAAATGACTCTCACACTGCCTCTGCAGTACTCCTCCAATGTGATATATAATCTGGGCCGCTTTTTTAAGGGTAAGGGTAGAATAGTCTCCATCCCAGTTTCTTATTTTGGGTCTCAGCTAACAGCTTTATTTGTGAAAATGAGGATGCAAAACATTTAGTTTTCAAGGAAGGAAAAAAATGGAACTTTAAAAGCACAAAGAAGTACAGAACCAATGCTCCCATGAAAAATGGCCGCTACATCGCTACCAAAGTACCCACGGACTGAGGCTCTGTGCCAAACTGCAGTCCAAGGGACAGCTCATATGCCGTCCCTAAAAAACCCTAAGATGGGGTTTGTAATGAAACACTTACACAATCTTATTACCATAACAGAGGGGCCAAAGAACAGATACTAAGCACTCTTAAATGAAAAAAAACCCACAACTTCTAAAATTCTTGTTTTTGTTTCAATTGCGATATGAACCAAATCCAGTGTTTGTCGTCAGCTGGGCAATAGAATGTTTTCCAACCAGGTGATGGTGCCACTCCCACTTTTTCTCCCTCAGGGCATCATGTCTTTTACCATTCAAAGTAAAAGTAATAAAGAGAGATAGCTCTGCCACCATCTTAGCGAGATGTCTGGAGAATTTCAGTGACGTATGCTGTGTTCTTCTGCCCACTCGTATCGCAGGTTCTCAGGTCGGTGGGATCAGTGCCCAAGTCCACGTGCCAGCTTAGCCCACTGTTACAAAGCGGCTTCCTTTGTTCTGAGACAGCGCAGTTCTCTGCTCCTTCAGGATCCCAAATCGCTCATTCAACGTCATCCCTGTCTGAAAAACAAAGCCATTTAACCATAACCTTCGAAGATGTTGGGTTATTTTAATCAATGTAATAGAGACAAGAATACCCTCTTCTTCAATTGTATCACCACTTGACTCCTTAATTGCCTCACTAGGATTTTTTAAAAAGAAGGTTTGATTTCATCATTCCCTACACTACTTAAAAATCATATTGGACTACACATCAAGAGCTTGCATTTCTCAGAATTCATTAAGAACACATGGTACACAATGTCATTACTCAAAGCCTACTAAAAATACAATAGGTTAAGCTGAGGACAGCCAGCCTGAAAAAGGGAACTTTCAATACATGTTTCCCCATACAGATTCTCTGCAAATTCAACAGATGTGTCCTTTTCACTGTGTAAATGCAGGCTGCTTTCCAGTTCACCCAGTTGAGGCAGCAGACTGGAGTCTAATCCAAAAGTTCAATTAATTTTAGAGTACTGCAGTAGACTATTTTTGACATACTACTTATTCATGGATGGAACAGGTCCAGACCAATGCCCTGACCCCATGCAGTTTTCTACAGCTGGCACCAAGGAGCTCATTACAACAATAGCACTTAACTCTGTCACCTCCAAGAATTCCTTCAATAACAGCACTAGGATTCCTGCCCTAAATTGCCTGCCTTCATGAAACTTGGGGGAAAATTGCTCATCTTTCAAGCCTTTATGTCATCACATTTGATTTTTTTTCCTAGATGCGTAGCAAAAGTTGCCTTAGAAATTCGGCTGCCGGGGGTCCATGCAGGTTACACAGCTTTAAGCAGCTCATCACTGAGTTACAATTGCTGATGTGAGCACAGCAAGAACACCAGAAGGCTTTTAGGAATATTCAACATTTTCAATTCCATTTAAATCACGTGGGCGTGCAGGACATGAACTAGAAGAACAGGAACAGTGAGTTTAGCTACTTGCTTGAAGTTATATAGCAAGTTAGTGGAAGAACTGGAAGTGGAAACAAGAAGTAGTCACTAGTTCCCTCTTTCTGTCACTAGTGAGTGAAGAAGGAAAGTGCCTCACTGGCTTTTAGCGGTCTTGACACTACTTCCACAGTTATGAAAAGAAACCACATTTACCTGTTTTCCAACACTATTAATATCAAACTGCAATGGAACCCCTTTTGGAATCTTCTTCTCTTCAGATTGGTCCCTCTTCATCAGAAATGGTGGCACAGGAGTACGAGTTAATCGTAATTTCTGGGAACTGTGAAAAAAGAATGTTACAAAGGACATGATGAATATGTGTTTTATGCAATAAAGCCATAGTGCTGATAGAGGTATGAATTTTTCATCAAGCCATTTGATCAGGCTGGCTGAATAGATGGAAGGCACAAATTCAAGAAGGTGAAAATCAGGTAGAACTATAAAAGGGACCATTTGTCATTGTTACCAGACAGCAAACGGCCCCACAGGAAGCCTTATTATTTTTTACCTCTCAGTTCTACTGACAAACACATAATTTGCAATTAATTATTTCCAAAAATACAAAAAATAAGAATTGGTACAGTCTTCCTTACTGATAAAATGCTACTCATGAGAAAAGCTACTCAAGACATTTTTAGAAATACAACACCTATAAACAGCAGTACCACCAACTTCCCAAAGAAAAATAGAGCAATGTTCTCTCTAAGCATAACTCCAGCAGTATTTTTATGAATCAGGGAGGAACTATTACCATTACTCATCAATTAGGTGCTCAGTGATTTCCATTCAGATAGGGGAGGAAAACAACTGCAACACAATCTGATTTGGAAGGTGCAGACAAGATGAAAATCTACCAGCCCACCACTCTTGCACTCTATACACCACATTAAGCTCCTAACGGGGAGATGACATGTGAAATCCAGAGGTGATTTTATTTAAACATAGCTCAGAAACACTCA